CGAGACGGCCCTGACAAGAGTAAGCATTGTGCTTACCATCGATGCGCCGGGCATGACACAGAGGAGTGTACCCACTTGCGCCTATTGTTGGAAGATCTGCTTAACTTGGGAAAGTTGGACAAGTGTGTGGGGAAGAGAGAGGACAACAAGAGGAATACCGATCGGAGAGATTACAGGCGCTCTCATCACCGCTCCGATCGGTCAGGTCAGGACCGAAGAGATGATCGAAGAGACGATCGTCATGATGACCGACGGGACCCTGACCCTCCGTCTAGCAGCCGCCCGTCCGGAAAGCCTACCATACATGTCATTTTTGGTGGACTAGAAGACGCTTCCCGACCGCGGACCAATTGCCCGGTCGCTATTGTGGATTCCCGGGAGACCGGGAAGAGGCAGAAGATGGAACCCATAACCTTCACCCTTGAAGACCAACCTAGCAGCAGTGACCACGGCATGGAGGCGCTCGTGGTCACGATTGACGTTAAGGGGACAGACGTCCAGAGGATTATGGTCGATACGGGCAGCAGTGTGAACGTCCTATACTTGGACGTCTTTGAGAAGCTTGGCCTCGACAGAAAGGAGCTGACTCCGGTCGGTGTACCACTGTCAGGATTTACCGGGGCTCTTATTTACCCCGAGGGAAAAATAACGCTCCCGGTCGAGATCGGCGCACCTCCAAAGTCGATCCAAACGGAGCTAGAATTTGTTGTGGTCAACCTCCATTGCGTCCACAACATTATCTTGGGCCGACCCGCCATTATGAAGATCGGTGGGATAATTTCTATTCCCCACCTGTGCATGAAATTCCCCACCCCTAATGGGGTCGGTGTGGTCCGTGGCGATGTCCAATCCGCCCGGAAATGTTACACCCGAGCGGTTAATAGACGCGACTCCGGTCCATCTTCCCGGGTGAACACCATAGCCAAAGAGGAGGCTAAGGATTGGAAGAAACAACCTGAGCCTTCCGAAGAAATAGAAGAAGTTCCCCTATCCGAGGACCGCCCGGATAGGAAGATCAAGATTGGCCGAGCCCTCACCCCCGAGCTTCGAGCGGAAGTTTTGGCCATACTCCGGGAGTACGCTGATATCTTTGCATGGGGGCCCGAAGATATGCCCGGGATCGATCGATCGGTCATCTGTCACAAATTGGCCATCGATCCCGCAGCCAAGCCGGTCGTGCAGAAAACACGACACCTGTCGTCCGATCGCCGCGAATTTGTGAGAGAAGAAGTCAAAAAGATGGCCGCGTTCGAGCACATCCGTCCGGTGGTGTACCCCGAGTGGGTGGCAAACATCGTCCTTGTGCCTAAGCCTCCGGCTTGGAGGATGTGCATCGATTTTACCGACCTCAACAAGGCCTGTCCGCTCGACCCGTATCCTCTACCGAGCATTCACCAGATGGTCGACGAGACGGCCGGGGCCGAGTTAATGAGCTTCATGGATGCCTTCAAGGGGTATCATCAGATCATGATGCACCATGAAGACGAGAGCAAGACAGCCTTCGTGACCCCGGACGGGTTGTATTGTTACCGAGTGATGCCGTTCGGCCTCCGGAACGCAGGGGCGACCTACCAGAGGATGGTCAATATGCTCTTTGCCGATTTATTGGACCGAACGATGGAAGCTTATATCGATGACATGCTGGTCAAGAGTCGGGACCGATTCGACCACACTCGGGACCTCCGGGAGTGCTTCCAGATCATGAGGAAGTACCAGTTGCGGCTGAACTCGACCAAATGTACATTCGCGGTTCAGACCGGCAAGTTCCTCGGCTATATGATGACCAAGAGAGGAATTGAGCCCAACCCGGCCAAAGTAAAAGCGATTCTGGACATGCAACCACCTTCCACCGTTCGAGAAGTCCAGCAATTGACCGGTCGGTTGGCAGCCCTCAGCCGGTTCCTCTCCAAGTTAGCCGAGCGCGCTCTACCTTTCTTCAAGGTATTGCGGAAGGTTAATGAATTCGTCTGGGACGAAGAGTGCCGAGCGGCTTTTGACGAGCTGAAGGAATATCTCATGTCACCGATCGTGCTCTCAAAGCCCGAGCTCGGAGAAGAGCTAGACGTGTACCTCGCCGTTTCCGATCGTGCAGTAAGCGCAGTGTTGTGCCGAACCGATCCGGAAGGGGTCCAGCGACCGGTGTACTATGTAAGCCACGCGCTACATGGTCCCGAGCTCCGGTACTCCCGGCTAGAGAAGGTCGTCTATGCCTTATACATTGCCGCGAAGAAGTTGGCTCCCTATTTCCAAGGTCGAGCAATTCGCGTGTTGACCGATCAGCCGATCGGGCCAGTCCTCCGAACTGCTTCATCATTCGGACGCTTAGTCAAATGGGCGTTAATGCTGACACAGTACGCGATCGAATACCAACCGAGACCAGCTATCAAAGGTCAAGCCCTTGCTGATTTCTTGGTCGAGTGCACCGCCCGGGATACCCGACCTCCCGAGGTTGCGGATCCCGAGGCTGAGTGGTGGTCGTTGGCTACAGACGGGTCGAGTAGCAAGAAAGGAGCAGGAGGAGGAGTGGTGGTCACGAGCCCGAAAGGATTCAAGGTTTATTTTGCTTTCATGTATCAGTTCCACCCGACCAATAATGAAGCCGAATACGAAGCATTTGTCATTGGCTTACAGTGCGCTCGGGACTTGGGGGCTGAATACATCCGAGCTCAAACGGATTCCGCGCTCGTGGTCGGGCAAGTTCTCGGGGATTATGAAGTCAATGGAGAGCGTTTGCAACTGTACCGAGACCTTGCCATGGAGAAGCTTGCTCAGTTCCGGGGGTATACCGTCCGACACATACCCCGATTGGATAATGCCGACGCAGATATCTTATCTAAATTGGCTCAAGACGCCCCGGAACACATGTCGAAGATAGCACGGATTTTGGTGATCCCGAGACACAGTATCCATCGTCTACCGGTCAATCCAATCCAACCGGTAGAAGACAACTGGATCACCGATCTGAAGGAATTCCTCGAGCACGGTCGACTTCCCGATGACCCTCAGCGTGCTCGAAAAGCCAAACTGAGAGCCCCGAGGTTCCAAGTCTTGAACGGCCGTCTTTACAGGCGATCGTATGGAGGCCCTCTCATGCGTTGCTTGACCGCATTTGAGGCCGATTTAGTCATGAAGGAACTCCACTCGGGAATTTGCTCCTCACATCAAGGAGGCCGATCCCTGGCCCGTCGTATCATGCTAATCGGGTACTACTGGCCGTCCCTCCAGCTAGACTGTGAAAAGTTAGCTCGGGAATGTGAGACGTGCCAACTGTTCGCCCGGATGCCTGGACGACCGGCAACCTTCTATCAGCCAGTCACGACCGCCATTCCTTTCGCTAGGTGGGGGGTGGACATCTTGGCCCCCTTCCCTCAGCTCTCCGGACGGAGAAAGTTCGTGATTGTCGCCATTGATTATTTCTCCAAGTGGATAGAAGCCGAGCCCTTAGCCACGATCACCTCTCAGCAATGTGCTCGTTTTCTTTGGCGCAATGTGGTTTCCCGCTTTGGCGTGCCCGTACATCTCATCAGCGACAATGGCCGCCAATTCGTAAGCCAATACTTCCAGAACTTTTTGGCCACGATCGGGACGACTCACGTCCGGTCGTCGGTGGCTTACCCGCAGGGAAACGGTCAAGTGGAAAATGCAAACCGGACGATTTTGGAAGGTCTAAAAAAGAAGCTGCATTCGGCTGGTCGTAGTTGGGCCGATGAGTTGCCATATGTCTTATGGACTTATCGGACGACCCCGAGGGAAGCTACTTTGGAGACCCCTTTCGCCCTGGTTTATGGAGCTGAAGCCCGACTCCCGATCGAGGCTTGGATCCCGACTGATCGAGAGAGAACCTACAATGCGGAGGAGAATGAACATGCGATGGCCGTGGATCTCGATGCGGTCGAAGAAAAAAGAGAGCTAGCCGCTCGGCGTATGGCCGAATACCAGAAGCGTGTTAAGAGTTCAAAGGATGTTCGGGTCAACCCTCGATATTTTCAAGTTGGAGATTACGTTCTACGACGAAGGGAGGCCAGTCCACCTTTAGAGGGCGGAAAGCTAGCTCAGAATTGGGAAGGGCCGTATATCATTAGCGCGATCATACGGCCGGGTACATACCGGCTGAAAATGACAACCGGTCGGGTAATCGAGGGGACTTGGAATTCCGAGCACCTCGTTATGTTTAGGCATTAAGCCTATTTTTTGTAATCTTTGGACGAAGAGGGGGCTTGACCTGCGTGTAGGTCCCGGTCGTCGTTTGTAATTAAATTTCTATGATTGTAAATATTTACTTTAACCGCCTGCGAGCGGGAAGGATTAATGTATATACGATCGGTGATTGCTCGACCGCTTGCATGCGGCGGCCCGATCGGTTATTTTCTATACCTCCAGTGCACGCAGATCAATTTATCTTCAAGCTACACCGACCGGGCGAATCTATCGACCGGTCAGATGCGCTCCACATCGGCGGACATACAAGTCACGCCACTGATCGGGGAAGCCAGGAGCTCTCAGCATAATTCCCCGATCCGTCCAACTTCTTTCCACGATTGCACCCACTCGTGCCTCGAGCGCACAATAGTGTGGGGGCTGGGATGAAGGAAGTATTTATAGGCCCGTCGTTCGGAGGTATCCCAACCGTAGAGGCTTACTTATTTTCAAAAATTTCGTCAAGGCCTAGAGCTCGGGTAAACCCGATCGGGTCGGCCATTTTACGACGAAACGTCAGATGTGCGACCAAGCCGTGCGACCAAGCCGTAAGGCCCTAAGGTCGAGCGTCAGCAGGGTCGAGTATTGCGAGACCGGGCCTGAAGGCCGGGCGGTCAAGCGACTATGATCGGTGTGCGGCTACGATCAGTGTGTGCAAATTAAAAGCAAAGGTGTAAAAGCACGAAACGAACGATGCAACTTAGCAAAAAGGGAAATTTATTAATCACAAAGAGAGCGCCCGGTACAATTTCGGGACCGGGCTCCCGATCAGTGTCTTTTACAAAAATAGAAGAAGCCTATTCCTACTTCTTCGCTTCCCGAGCTCCAGCAGCCTCCTTCCCGCTCGGAGTGGCCGCAGACGATCTGCCAGGCTCGGCCGCCCTCTCTTTCGGAGTGAAGGGAGAGGGACCGGGGTCAGCTAGGTCCGGGGGTAAGGCCGACAGGACCAGCTGCAGGTCGTCTCCTTCAAGAGCTTGCTCCATTCGGGTTCGAGCCCGCTCGAGCATTTTGCGTTGCCCGGCTTTGAAGGCCCATCGTCCAAAGGAGAGGATTAAATCTTCTCCGATCTTTGTTCCCCGGGCCGCTGTGAGAAACGCTGAGCCCGACTCGCTGTCCTTAAAGACAGATTGCACCAGCTCGGTCGGATTGTCGAGTCGGGCTTTCAGCTCCTTGGCCTCCCCGATCGCCCTTTGGGCGACCTTCTCAGCCAGAACCCGGTCTTCTTCACTCTTCTTTAGGCCCTTCTGGCCTTCTCCAGCTCGGCCTGGATGTCCTTGACTTCCTTCAAGCGACGAGCGGCCGTCTTCTTGTGGTGATCCGCTTCCTCGACCAGCATGGCTCGACCCTGCAAAAGCTGGGCCGCTCGGGAAATCTGCAAGGCAAAAAGATATTCAAGATTAGCCCGGATGAAGACACTTGCATAAAAAGGGAAAGTCAGTGGGAGGAAGCTTACCTCGGCCAGGTCGTGGCCAATCCTCTCGGCCACCTGGGTCGGGGTCATCTTCCCCAAATCCTCTCTGGCTGGCCCGGCGTTGCCGATCCGGGCCAATATGGACATGCCGTCCTTCTCTCGCCCGATCGAGGGGCTCGGGCTGCGTTGTTCCCGGCGGCGTTTCATACCGCCCACCTCAGCCACGCCCCGATCGGAGACCTTCTCCTTACCCCGGGCGACCTCCACCCGGGTAACCAGGACATCAGATGGCTCCACGACGAAGCCCTCGGCCGTCGTCACGGTCGAGGCGCTTAGGGGTCGGGCCGAGGGGATCTCCTTTTCCCCCGCTGGCTTCGCCTTCGCTTTTTTCTTGCCGCCAAGGGAGATCTTGGCGGGCGGGGGAAGGGGGGCATCTTCATCTCCGAACTCCGCCATAGCTGCAAATAAAGAAGCAAAGTTAGATCGATCGGTATATAAGGTTAAGTCGGGAGAAGTAGCTCGGGTTAAACCTTTCTTCTTCCGCCTCGACGGCTTGGAGACCGTCACGCCCATCGGTACGGGCAGATATTTCTCCCGTAGCTCGTACGTAGGGGGCGGAAGCTTAGCCGCCTCGAGACTTTCGGCCGTTCGAAAGATCGTATATTCGTGCAGTTCACTCGAGATCCAAGCGACCGCCTCCTTGAGCGCTTGTGTCTCGTCCGGCACCACTTGTTTCCGGAAGTGAGTGCTCCAAGCACGGTCGACCGGGAGAATCCAAGGGTCGTATTTGATGGAAAAAATCCTATTTTTCCATCCCTTGTTGTTCCCGGGCAGGCCTCTGATCGCGCACATGTCCGCTCGAGACTGCAACATTAGGAACCCGCCCCCGTAGCTGCCCGGGAGAACTTTGACTTGGTAGATGTAGTTGAATAACTCCATCGTGCTGGCGGCTTCGTGCCGAGCGCATATCTGGGGAAAGCAGGCGATGATCCGGTGCGAGTTGGGGCAGATCTGAGCCGGGACGACCCGGTAGTATGCCAAGAAGGCCGTCAAGAGGGGGAGGGAAGGGAATGGCGATCGGGGCCATCAGGGAGTCGTAATGCATCCCGATCCACTTGCCCCGGTGCCGATCGATCACATTCCCTAACTTTCGGCTCGTGTCAAATTCCACCCGACCTCTGAGCTTTTCGGCAATCCTAGCCGCTTCGCCTTTGGTCAATCGGCTCATTTGTTGTTCGACATTCTCGCTGTTCAAGAATTCGAACTCCATTGCTGCTGGTGCGCTTGGCCCAGCTGTATCTTCCTCGGCCGGCTCGGGAGTATTTTCCCGGTCGCCTCGTCGAGGAGCAGTTTCCGGGTGGTCCCCAACCACCCGGGTAGGCGTTTCCCTAACGCCTTCGGTCGGGGAGCCCTGTCTGCTTGATGAGGCTCCTTCTTCTTCCTCTTCGCCGGAACTCCCCGATCCGCTTGAGCTGGAGCTCGATGACCCGGAGGAGCTTGACGCGTTGTTTTGTTCGGAATCCCGCTCGGGGGCTGGAGCCGGTCGGTGAACGACCTCGGGAGAATAGGACATGATGTCCACCTCCTCGTCGCTGAGGTATTCGACCTCTTCATCGTAGTCCGCAATCGAGGCGTTTTGGCTGTCAGAATCCGTCATTTCGATCTACCTAAAGGTCGGTCGGGGTTAGTAAGGGACTTGAGACGTCCGGGACAGTTAGTTGGCCTATCAGTTCTACTTATGAATGAAAGCGTAAAGTATAAGAGGGGTTGAGAACTTACCGAATGGAGGAACTTTGCGAATGAAAGCCTGAAGTTTTTAGCTCGACTGCCTTGCTAAGGTGCTCTGCTCGGGGCTCTCTGAGGGTACCGACTGAAGCAAAAGAGTGAGGAAAGTTCAAATAAGGGCTTCAAGGGCCTATTTATAGGAGAGCATTTAGGCAGGAAACGAGTCCACTTGCTTGACACGACCCGCACTGATTCCGAGGCGACTGTTGCAGTCGCAGAGGCCGGCAGTGGCCGACACGTGGCGAGGAGAGGAATGACAGCTGGCAGGTCGGTTTGGTGGCCAGTGGTTGGGCTTCTTCATCCCGTCCCGTTTTTCCCGGACGGTCAAAAAGGCCCGGGCTGGGGGGCTCTTGGTAGGGAATATCCCGACCGACATAGCTTCACCACGACCGAGGTACCTTCGTCTTTTTCTCTTTGTCTTTGCAGGTAACAGGTCGGGCTCCTTGTAGAGAACCCGGTCGGGGTCCGACCGGGAGTTGCCCGAGCGGCAGTGTCGACCACCGAGCGGTAGCCCTTTGGCGAGAGAGCTGATAAAGGACACGTGGCGGCTCTCTACGACGACAGGCAGGGCACCCGGGAGGATGACACGTGGAGGCTACGTGGAGAACATGCCGAACGACCGGATTCTTGTCTCCGGCATAGCGGCTATAAATACCCACAGTAGCCACAGTGTAGTGGACTTTTGGACGATCGATAGGTTGTTGTTAGAGAATCCCGACCGCAGTCAGTCGGTACTCAGAGCAACCAAGAAGATTGTACTTAGGGCCTTTACCGTGATCAATAAAGACATTTACTTGCTTTAATCGGTCTCGAGTTATTCCATATTGCTTACGTATAATTAGCAGTATCAGCATTGTATGGGTTGAAACAAGCACCTAGAGCTTGGTATGATACCTTGTCAATGTTCTTGATAAGCTGTGGATTCACCAAAGACCTTGTTGACAAAACTCTCTTTAGAATTCAAGATGGTGATCATATTTTATTAGTGCAAATATATGTTGATGACATTATTTTTGGAAGCACTAACAATTCTTTGTGTGAGAAATTTTCGAAGCTCATGCAGAATAAATTCAAAATGAGCATGATGGGTGAATTGAATTATTTCTTGGGCTTACAAGACAAACAATTGAAGGAAGGAATATTCATCAATCAAGCAAAGTACACCCGCGACTTGATAAAGAAGTTTGGCCTTGATGGAAAATCATCGATCAAAATTCCAATGAGTACATCAATAAGGCTAGACAAAGACAAAGATGGAAAAGATGTCGAACAAACGAAGTATAGAGGAATGATTGGTTCACTACTATACCTCACTGCAAGCAGGCCGGACATTTCTTATGCTGTGGGAGTGTATGCAAGATTTCAAGCAAATCCAAAAGAAAGCCACCTCACCGCAACAAAGAAAATCATAAGATACTTGAAGAGAACAATCAATTTTGGATTGTGGTATCCTAAAGGTACAGATTTTACGCTAACTGGTTTCTCAGATGCGGATTTTGAGGTTGTAAAATAGACAGAAAAAACACATCCGGAACTTGTCAATTCTTGGGAGGAAGGCTTGTTTCTTGGTTCAGCAAAAAGCAAAATTCCATCGCAACTAGTACCGCCGAGGCCGAATATATTGCTGCAGGAAGTTGTTGTGCTCAAATTTTGTGGATGAAGCAACAATTGAAGGATTATGGAGTGAATTGCGATGATGTTAGCATATTTTGTGACAATACAAGTGCAATCGCTATTACTCACAATCTGGTGCTTCACTCAAGAACCAAACATATCGACATACGACATCATTTCATAAGGGATCATGTTGAAAAGAAAGATCTAAAAATTGAGTATATCCCTACGGAGAACCAAGTTGCATGTATTCTCACGAAGCCTTTATGCGAAACGAGATTTTCTACTTTAAGGCATGAATTGGGAATGTTGGAAATGAGCTAACTATCACTGAACTTAATCTCTTGATTTAAAATGATACATATGCTCAAATTATGGGTTCTACGTGTTTATATGCTATTATATGTTTTACGTGTTTACATATTTCTATGTACTTAATTTCTACGTAAACTAATTTGCTAAATGTGTTAAGTTTTTAATTATGAATTTGCATGAAGTGTTTAACGTGATTTTATATGCCATTCAAATTAATTTGACAAAATGTGCAGTTTTATTTGATCTAATTTGTTTTTGAACTGCATGTTTTAATCCTTACTTGGACCGCACTTTATGTTCATGTTTGTGTTAATTTGTTTGCATGATCAAATTTTTTTTTTTTTGTATGTTACCTGACTATTTGTGAAATATGATTTATAATTTGGTTTATATTAATGTGCTAATTTTTATTAGAATAATTTTTTACTAGTTTCTAAATAATTGCTTATGTGTTTAAGAATTTTGTTTACATATATATAATCTATCGTATGTATGTATGTGTTTTCTTGGTAATTTGATTTAAAATTTGGTTAGTTACCAAAATTTGTGCTTATTATAATTGGGAATTACCGTGTATATGCATGATTATATATGGATGTGATTTAATTGCTAAAAATTTTAAAATTCCATATATGTTTCAAAGTTGCATGTGAGATTTACGAAAATTTGTGTAATTTGTGTGATCATATTTATGTGGAATTATGTGTTTAAATCTGATGTGTACGTATTTTTGAGAATGAAAAGGAAGAGATCAGATTGGATTGAAACCTCCTCCCTCTAAACCTCTACCCATAAAACCCAATCCCATTAAAACTCTCCATCTCTCAAAACCCACACCCCTTAAACTTCCACCCATAAATAAATCCCACAAAATCTGACCCTCCCTCACAAAATCAGATCCCCTCTCATAAATTCTAATCGACACCCTCTCTCGAAGATCTCTGTTAGTGTTTTGATTGTTCAAAAACCCCATCTTATAATTGGCAATATTATTATGGCATACTAAGATAGGTTTAGCTTAGTGTCCGTTCGGCTCTACAGAAGACTGATCAATCAGAAGCAACAACTGACGGACTGACACTGAAGATCTGATTTAAGAAGCTGTTTTCTTAAAAGCTGTACGCGATTTTACAAAAGACAGATTTGGAAAGAAGATCAGCATATCTGCTTTGGAAAGGTATGGACCGAATCTTTAAGATTTTATTTATTTATTTATTTTTTTTTTTTAAATAAATTTTTTTTTTTTTAATTTAATAAAAAGGAAGGCCAAGGCCAGTACAAGGTCCGGATGGACTTAGGCCCCACATGGCCTAAATCCTACTAATAAGCTAAGTAAGGAAAAATAAGATAAGACAAGATAACATAAAGTGGCCCCCGGGGCTCTAACATGCATGCCCCAAGCCCTATGCTAGCTAATCGTAGGCAGGAGTATGTCAAAACCAGTAAGTAGACTGAGATGCTGCACAACTGCATCTCCGCCCACCATGTAATCTGAAGCACAAGTAGCGAGGATAGATGCCTCGCGCGTCTTTAAGATTACATTCTTCAAATATTGTCCTACCATCTACAATCAAAGACATCTATGGAAGGAGTGTTCTATCAACGGATCTATAAGTATCCTCATTCGAAGTGAATTAGGGTTACGCCTTGAGAGAGAAGAAACACTCCACATTAGTTTTATAAGATCAGATCTTTGATTATCATGCCTCTTCTCAATACAACATGTTCATGGTGATTAAGATGATGAACTTGAGAAGAATCACTGCTGCTTAAACGAAAGGACACTGTGATCACATTATTGTGGGAACAACTTTAAAGAGCGTCATTGAAGTGGACTGCATCAGAGTTGGCTCTCCAAGTGAAGGGATTTCATTGGACTTCTGTATGCATGGCTCTCCACCTTCAACAATCCACTAAACCTGTGTAGATTGGGTATGTACCTTGTGTGGGGCACTTGAGTGAGATTATTGTTTATCTACCTTTGTACATTGGATTATGATTTAGTGGATTGGACGCCTATGTGATCGTCCCCCAGACGTAGATACACACTGTATCGAACTGGGTAAACATCCTGTGTCTTTTGCTTTGTGCAGTTATCTTTTCTTTAAACATCTCTATGATCTGTTATCACTGACTGACTTCATCGCTGAATCAGTCAGTCCATTTCATCAGTTGATTAATCTAGTTAATCTGATTAAAAAGAGGAAATGCAAAATTACAATCTCGATCGTCACCCATGCCATAAATCTGAGCAAATCTCCTCTTAAACCCCAGTAGTTACTTGTCTAATCCTCTCCCTAGCACCGTCCTCCTCAACCAATAGCAACTCACCCAAATTTAATGGATGTCAATCATACCCGTTCAGAACCGAACTGTCGACCATAATCCCTGAAGCCATCTTTAGAAGCCTTCAGACGTTCTCGAACCTATATATTGGCAATAGCAATCCAAACCACAACCGTGCAAGTAGTTTATTATTATTATTTTTTTTGCAGGAGAACCATGGTGTCAAAGGAGAAGAACAATGGAGAAAGAAGAACATCCATGAGGATCTGGAATCATGTGCGGCTCCAAAAGTTGCGAGCTAGGAGGACAGAAGCTGGAGGACACCTCGTTGGGGATACTGCAAACGACCCTCTCGTTGTATCTGAAGAGGAAAACCTTCAAAACTTTGATCAAGGTGCACCTATCTCACTGCCAGAAGAACCAGGTTTTATTTATGCTGAAGAAGGAGAAGCCAAGAAAATCCCAACACCACAATGTCAAGGCGTAGCCGAACCGGAGAAGTCCAAAGAATCTGAATCCCCTTTTCTGAAGTTTTCACCAGTTGTTCAACCTGACATGTATCAAGAGATTCTGAATATGAGTAATTCAGAATATCTCCACTATCTAAAGCAACTGACGTTTGGACCGGTCATGCCACCACCGGGATTTGAAGGGCTTTCTCAAGGACCTCTTGCACCACCTGTTCAAAATGATGCACCACCGGCAGTGGAACAAGATCTACCACCAGTCCCACTAGAACTTGTTCTGCAACCTGCTCCACCACCGGTGAATCCTCGTATCCGTCCACCCGTGGACTATACAAGGTTCTTCAATGCAACGTACTCGTCCTCCGGAACTTGTCAATTCTTGGGAGGAAGGCTTGTTTCTTGGTTCAGCAAAAAGCAAAATTCCATCGCAACTAGTTCCACCGAGGCCGAATATATTGCTGCAGGAAGTTGTTGTGCTCAAATTTTATGGATGAAGCAATAATTGAAGGGTTATGGAGTGAATTGCGACGATGTTAGCATATTTTGTGACAATACAAGTGCAATCGCTATTACTCACAATCCGGTGCTTCACTCAAGAACCAAACATATCGACATACGACATCATTTCATAAGAGATCATGTTGAAAAGAAAGATCTAAAAATCGAGTATATCCCTACAGAGAACCAAGTTGCAGATATTCTCACGAAGCCATTATGCGGAACGAGATTTTATACTTTAAGGCATGAATTGGGAATGTTGGAAATGAGCTAAGTATCACTGAACTTAATCTCTTGATTTAAAATGATACATATGCTCAAATTATGGGTTCTACGTGTTTATATGCTATTATATGTTCTACGTGTTTACATATTTCTATGTACTTAATTTCTACGTAAACTAATTTGCTAAATGTGTTAAGTTTTTAATTATGAATTTGCATGAAGTGTTTAACGTGATTTTATATGCCATGCAAATTAATTTGACAAAATATGCAGTTTTATTTGATCTAATTTGTTTTTGAACTGCATGTTTTAATCGTTACTTGGACCGCACGTTATGTTCATGTTTGTGTTAATTTGTTTGCATGAACAATTTTTTTTTTATATGTTACCTGACTATTTGTGAAATATGATTTATAATTTGGTTTATATTAATGTGCTAATTTTTATTAGAATAATTTTTTACTAGTTTCTAAATAATTGCTTATGTGTTTAAGAAATTTGTTTACATATATATAATCTACCGTATGTATGTATGTGTTTTCTTGGTAATTTGATTTAAAATTTGGTTAGTTACCAAAATCTGTGCTTATTATAATTGGGAATAACCGTGTATATGCATGATTATATATGGATGTGATTTAATTGCTAAAAATTTTAAAATTCCATATATGTTTCGAAATTGCGTGTGAGATTTACAAAAATTTGTGTAATTTGTGTGATCATATTTATGTGGAATTATGTGTTTAAATCTGATGTGTACGTATTTTTGAGAATAAAAATGAAGAGATCAGATTGGATTGAAACCTCCTCCCTCTAAACCTCTACCATAAAACCCAATCCCATTAAAACTCTCCATCTTTCAAAACCCACACCCCTTAAACTTCCACCCATAAATAAATCCCACAAAATCTGACCCTCTCTCACAAAATCAGATCCCTTCTCATAAATTCTGATCGACACCCTCTCTCGAAGATCTCGATCGTCACCCATGCCATAAATATGAGCAAATCTTCTCTTAAACCACAGTAGTTACTTGTATAATCCTCTCCTTAGCACCGTCCTCCTCAACCAACAGAGACTCACCCAAATTTAATGGATGTCAATCATACCCGTTCAGAACCCAACTGTCGACCATAATCCCTGAAGCCATCTTTAGAAGCCTTCAGACGTTCTCGAGCCTATATATTGGCAATAGCAATCCAAACCACAACCGTGCAAGTAGTTTATTATTTTTTTTTTTTGCAGGAGAACCATGGTGTCAAAGGAGAAGAACAATGGAGAAAGAAGAACATCCATGAGGATCTGGAATCAAGTGCCGCTCCAAAAGTTGCGAGCTAGGAGGACAAAAGCTGGAGGACACCTCGTTGGGGATACTGCAAACGACCCTCTCATTGTATCTGAAGAGGAAAACCTTCAAAACTTTGATCAAGGTGCACCTATCTCACTGCCAGAAGAACCAGGTTTTATTTATGCTGAAGAAGGAGAAGCCAAGAAAATCCCAACACCACAATGTCAAGGTGTAGCTGAACCGGAGAAGTCCAAAGAATCTGAATCCCCTTTTCTGAAGTTTTCACCAGTTGTTCAACCTGACATGTATCAAGAGATTCTGAATATGAGTAATTCAGAATATCTCCACTATCTAAAGCAACTGACGTTTGGACCGGTCATGCCACCACCGGGATTTGAAGGGCTTTCTCAAGGACCTCTTGCACCACCTGTTCAAAATGATGCACCACCGGCAGTGGAACAAGATCTACCACCAGTCCCACTAGAACTTGTTCTGCAACCTGCTCCACCACCGGTGAATCCTCGTATCCGTCCACCCGTGGACTATACAAGGTTCTTCAATGCAAAAAAACGTCGCCAAATATCTTTACTGACGAAATAAAAACGTCACCCGGACCGTCGGGTTATCGGCGTATGGAAAGGTATTACTGACGAAATTAAATTTTCGTCGCAAAATATTACAATTACTGACGTTTTTGCATTGTCTTGATAATGTCATTGAATACACACTTTTTAAAACGAAATATTAACAAAAACGTCACTAATAGTTTCTGACGAAGTAAAATATTTCGTCAGCAAATGTGTCTTTAGTGACGTTTTCCATACTATTATGCTTGTCATGAATAAATTTAATTGGTGACGAAAAATGAAATGCGTCAATAAAATAACATTTATTGACGATTGTGTACATTATTATGTTGTCATTAAAAAAATTAATTGATGACAAAATAACAATTTGTCAGTAAAAATGACATTTACTGACGTTTTTTCATATTCATTTTCATCGCGCAATGTTATATTTGGAGATATTTTTAATTTTTTAAATAATTGATGATAATTTACATATACTTGTATATAAAAAGGTTTACACAACAGTTTAATGTAATTGAGAATAAAATATTTTAACATCAATTAAATGTTCAAAATAGAAGAATATTTTTCATAGTATAATATTGAATTACAAGGATGTAATGTGATACAAATGATTCTTAAATAAGGCCACACTAGACACGGGAATATATATATAATTCTATGCACATAAAGATGGATAATAATTCTCATCTTCATCAAAACTATTGAGGTCGGCAATTTGGAAGTCCTTTGTCTTGGGGAAGAAGGTCTGATTTGATGAATACATCTAGATATGCAATAATTCCCTGCCACTAAAAAACATAAATATTTTCAAGCATGAGTAATAAATTATTAAAAACTATATATTAAACTCAATCAGATAGTTAATTTATATTGCTTTTGTACTTTCTTATGATTACATTTAATAACATAACTGATAGGGAATTTCCCCGAATATACCGTCATACAGGTTACACGTTCTGTACATTTGATCGATATCGGGTTCGGGTCAAATCTCCAGCTCGGGGTTAGGCCTCCACCTATATAATGGGGAGGTCATTTCATTTTCCACAACACACTAAGTCACATGGGGATTCTCCATTTCTTAAGGACATACTCTACACAATCCAGACCAAAGCATTTGGGCTAATTTTCCTCAGAATTATTTCATGCAATCTATTTTCAAATTTCCCTCACAGAATTATTCATGCAATCAATTTTCAAATTTCCCTCACAGAATTAGTCATGCAATCAATTTTCAAATTTCCCTTTCTTAAGGACATACTCTACACATTCCAGACCAAAGCATTTGTGCATATACACACTGCTACGCACACGAAATACATAGAAGCAATTAGTTCTATCAATAACTTTTCTTAGCTAATTAATATTTCATTTAGTTGCTTATAGCATGTAATCAATTTCCATTTAGCAGTGTACTCCCCAAAACTAAAATTTATATAACAAAGAAATGATAAATAAAATTCTAAACTTTGGTTATACCTTCAAGTGTTCATATCCACCTTGAGATCATTAACTAAGTTGTTAAAACTAGGTGAATACCCATGAAGTCCTCTACAAGACCAAATCCAAGCTAATTCATGGCAAAATCTCCACATTTAAAAGTATCCAACTTCTGAGTAATGCCTGCAAGGGATGAAACAATTTTAATTCTCTTTGAAACAAAAATTAAGGAATAAAACTTAAAGCAAACCACATAAAAATATCAAAATACCATCAAAAGAAACTTTGCTTTAACGGCAAAAAAATCAGTAGTGCATGTAATGGTTAAAGTCCCTTCGTGCCTTCAAAAGTAGTAGCATAAATAACACTACAATAATGTCATTCGGCCTTCAACTCCAAAAAAAAAATACACCCTTCATAACAAAAACCAAACAAACAAATAAAATGAGTGTGTAAGAATAAGATTTGCAAGTTTCATTCTACTCCAATTTTATAGTAAAAGAAACTGGATATCACACCTTAAACATAGTAATGTACTTTACCTTGTAATTCACAAAAAAATTTCATCCATTGAATTAATTCTGAAAAAAAAACAGGATACAAGGTATTAGATGTATTGTTAAAAATTCAATTCATTAATTATTAAGGATAATTTATGACATGTAACTATTAAATATATATCCACATACCACTCTTGGTTAGATCTCTCTGCCGCTAATGCAGCAAGTAATTCTTCATATTGTTGAAACCTCATCTTTAAATCAGCAAGTTCTGTCTTCAGTTGAGAGTTCTCATTCATAGTCGCTTTCATTTGATCCTCAAGATGGGACGTGTTTGCTCGAGTGGATCTAGATGTTTGTGGTTTTGGTCCATTCCCCATTCCTTTGATATATCCTGATCGTGTGCCCATTACATCATCATAAACTTGATCAACAGTCATTGGATTTTCATTTGATGCTGAAGTCTCAAACATGGTGATCATCTTTTGCTGAAATATTAGAATGTCTAATTAAACACTAAAATATTAAAGATAATTATGAAAATAAATAGTTAAAATATATTAAACAACAATATTTATGCAATGACACACATAAGTTTCCTCGGCTTCACGTGTAATCCACTTGTCATTCTTGCAGCGCGTGAATTTAAATAAAGCAATCCTATCAGGCATAAAACCACCTTCTTCCTTTTGTCTCTATGTAAAATATAGAAATATTATTTTAAAAAGTATAAATATCAATTTAACCATAACTCATAAGTAATGTTTAAAACATACAAGTCCATTAAACACGGGTACAAATGCAGCAGACCCTTGATTATGTGGAATTTTCTGTTGACTGCGGCACCAAGAATTTATCATGCACTTCACCTACAATATCAATCATCATAACTTAGTTGTTGTATTGAAAATATAAGTGTAAGATAAATTTAATAAAGATTACAAAGAAACTGACCTGCACATTCCCTTTGGACCAATAATCACAGAGTTCGTTCCAATTATCTTCTGTTAGGCCTTTTGGAACATGTAACTTTGCCTCAATTGCCGAGTCATATTTTAGGAACTGCTTGTGCAATTCATGCTTGTAATTCCTATAGCGAACTTTGAAAATATTTTCCACACATTCAAAGATTCGAGAATCTTCTCGAAAATTAACAACATCCAATCTCATCTAAAAAAATCAATGTTTAGAAGCTTAGTTAAGAAATAATATTATAAAGAACTTGTTAATTAATAAAAGCTATGTTTTTGAATAATAGAAATTTTAATAAGAGCTTTGCTAAATACTTACCAGTAATCGTTCCCAAGCACGATTTTTTTCTTCTTCTGTGAATTTAGAATATTTTGTTGGACATGGCATGTAATCTCTAACTATTTGGCCAAGTTCATTAGACAACTTAGCTGATTGAGTTCTATTTAAAGGCCGTCCATGTTCCCGATCAATGATAACTTGCAACTTCTTTCCAGCAACCTCGTTTCTTTTTACCAATCCAATTCCTCTTGTAGGTCCCCTACCACGCTTTTTTGAGGTTGTCCCACCTTCTAAAAGAAAATTGACAAATAAAAATAAGTGTTTATATTATCATGATATATATATATATATATATATATATATATATATATATATATATATATATATATATATATATATACACACTGGTTTTCTATGTTATAAAGTAATTTAATTTTTAATTAAATTGTAACCTGCATGTGATGCGTTTGCTGAAACAAAAGTGGGTATAGCTTGATTCACTTGATTGGTAGATGTGACATTGTTTGTCTCACAGTTTGAGATTGGTATAGAGCCTGTGGACCTCATCACTTCATTGTTCGTGGTAGCTGTGATCCCATTTGTGCCTTCAATAGTTGATGACGACTTAGTGCGTTTTTTCACTTGACCAGGTGCCATTTCATAACCTGAAAAGGGAAACAATAATTAAGCCAAAACAATGATTTGCTAATGCTAAAACATTCAGTTTTAAGTAACATACTTTCACAAATAAATTACTCAATAGACTTATGAATCTTCACTCTCATCTGAATCATCATTCATATCTTCTTCAGTACTATCATATTCAATAAGAGTTTCATCTTCATCATCTGATATTATAAAATCATCCACCTCTTTTTTTTATTTCAACCATTGTGGGTTGCACAATAGTAGCTTGTACAATATTTGATTCAACACCTGCTCTATGCAAGGATGTAGAAATATCACCAAATACTCCTATTTGCATGTCATTATCGACTACCATCTCATTATCTTGATAAACTACATCGTTATCTATCTCATTTTCCTCAAAAATATGCCTATGTTGGAACTGTTGGACAACTCGCCAACTTAATCCTAACTTTGGATCATTCAAGTAGAAAACTTGTTTTGCTTGGAATGCTAAAACATATGGATCATTTTTATACCAAAAGTTTGAAATTTTAATACTAGTGCAACTTCCATCATGTTGAATGTAAGACTTTTTTCCAATATCAAACCAATCACACTTGAAAAGAACAATACGATGATCTTTTATGTATTCCAACTCAATCACTTCATTTAGCACTCCATAAAAATCAATCAATTCATCTCCATGATTTCCTTGCACAACAATTCCACTATTTTGGGTCTTGTGACGGCTATCTCGATCTTTTGTATGGAATCTAACTCCATTGACAATGCAAGCTGTATACTTTCGAGCACACACTTGAGGCCCACAAGCTAATGAGTATAATGCATCCATTGCTTTAGTTGCAGATTCATTATATAATTGTGATACCTAACAGTTTAAATAGAAATTAGTAACATAATGAATACAACATGGTTCAATTAAGTGTTTGCTAGTATAAATAGTGTGTCTCTTGTATACTTACCTTTCCTCTAAACCAAAATAGGAATTCTTTTTTATACCTCTGATTAACTTTATGTAAATTTTCCTTCTCAAGTAAATCAATGTGTTCTCTACAAATGAAGAAAATAGTAAGAAACTAGAAGATAATGAAAGCAGTTTTGTAATTTAAACTTAGTTCTGCTTATTTATATCTACAAAGCATACTTACTCCATATATCCTCCAACTTCATCACAGTTACTCAATGCAAACCACTGAATATTATCAAGTTCTTCTTTAGAAAATTTTTCATATTTCCAAGCACCAAAGGGACGAACATTGTGTGAAAAAATTGACAACTCACTAGGTAGTGCCTCCCCATCATTATTTCTATCTTGCTTGTTGAAACGAGTTTCTATTCCATCAAGGTATAAAGAAAGAAACGTTAAGCATTCACTTGCAACATAACCCTCAGCAATTGAACCTTCCGGAAGAGCTTTATTTCTCACATAATGTTTAAGAGAGCCCAAGAACCTACAACGTTCATGAAGTTAATTAAAGTATGTAAGTTGGATGTAATTAATACACTTGTTATATTAGACATTACCTTTCAATCATAAACATCCACCTAAATTGAACTGGCCCACCAAGGATAGCCTCTTGTGGAAGGTGAATTGCCAAATGTACCATGACATCAAAGAAGGCCGGTGGATAAATCATCTCCAACTTACAAAGTATGATAACAATATTATTACGCAGTGCCTCCAAATCTGTCAACTTTAAGGTTTTACAACATAATTGCCTAAAGAAATCACCTAACTCAGATAACACAGTGGCAACTTCCTTTCCCAAGCTTCCACGCACTCCAACAGGTAATATTCTTTTTAATAAGACATGACAATCATGACTTTTTAAACCTATCAGTTTTCCATCAGTTGTTACACATCTAGATATATTAGAAGCATAACCATCTGGAAACTTAACAGACTCCAAAAATTCAGTAAATTTCAATCTCTCATTTCTTGTTAGCATGTAACATGGATGTGGAACCTCATATGATCCACATGCTCTCTTAACCAAATGCAATTCTTTCATAATATTCATATCCTCTAAATCTTGTCTTGCTTTCACTGTGTCTTTATTTTTACCATCAATATTTAACAAAGTTCCAATGATATTATCACAAATATTTTTCTCAATATGCATAACATCAAGATTGTGCCTCAATTTTAGCTTGCTCCAATAAGGAAGCTTGAAGTAAATACTTTTCTTACTCCAATTAAGCTCTTCAGGATTTCTTTTTCTTTTTCTTATATTTGGATGCTTTCCAAATGGAGTGTCACTTACACTTTCTAGTTGCTTTAACACTTCCTCACCAGATAATTCTAGAGGTGCACTTCGACTCTCCACATGCCCATTAAATTTTTTGCTTCGACGTCATGCATGGTTAGTGGGCAAGAAACGACGATTGCCTAAAAATCCCAACTTACTCCTCAATCTTTAAGAACATGCATCACCGTTGCAATTTGGACATGCCATGTATCCTTTAGTAGACCATCCAGACAAATTTCCATAAGCAGGAAAACCATTTATAGTCCAAAAAATAGAAGCATGCAATTGGAAATTTGTTGAAGAATAAGAATCGTAAGTTGTCACACCTCCTTCCCATAATCCTATAAGATCTTCAATCAATGGTTGCAAATAAACATCAATGTCTCTACCAGGAGCTTTAGGACCAGGTATAAGTAGTGTTAACATAAAAAATGAGTTTTTCATGCACATCCATGGTGGTAAATTATATGGAATTAATATCACTGGCCACATGCTATAAGCATTACTCATATTTCCAAATGGGTTGAATCCGTCAGAAGCTAAGCCAAGCCTAACATTTCTTGCATCATTAGCAAACCATGGAAACTCATTATCAAAATCTTTCCAAGCCTTAGAATCAGTCGGATGACGTAAGTACTCACCATCGTCAATTCGTTTTTCCTTATGCCACCTCATATCATTTGCAATTTTTTTTGACATAAACAATCTTTGAAGCCTAGGTTTTAGAGGAAAGTATCTTAGTATCTTATGAGGAATATTTTTTCCTTTACCATCCTTGACTTTCCATCTAGAAGTACCACATATAGGACAACAATCGGCTGTCTCTAATTCCTTCCAAAATAGCACACAATCATATTTGAATGCATGAATATTTGTGTATCCTAATCCCAAGTTACGAAGCATAGCCTTAGACTCATAGTGAGAATGTGGAAGTGTATTGCCATTAGGTAAGCATTCTTTTAGCAATTCAAGCAGCATGTCAAATGATTTATTGCTCCATTTATTATACACCTTCAAATGAAGCAACTTCACAGTTAATGATAATTTTGAGAATTTAGTGCAGCCGGGATATAATTCTTGCTTTGCTTCTCTCAATATGTTCTCAAAATTATCAACTTCACCACTGTGAGTATTGGGATTTAACTGTGAGGTGGAGTTTACAAAATTTCCGTATTCATTTAAGAACTCATAGACTCCATCTAAGTTTTCATCATCAGAATCATCATACTCAACCTGAGAACCATTATTACTTGGTTCTTGAAAAATCGGTGGCTCTCCATGGAATATCCAACGTGTGTAATCCATGTCTATTCCATTTTGGCGCAAATGCATATAAACCACGCTTTGATTTAAGGATGTTGTGTTTAGACATTTTTTACATGGGCACCTAATCTCACAATCATGTCCCAAGTGATTTCCCACAAATAACATAAAGTTCTTAAGTCCTTCTATATATTCATTAGACCTTTTATTCTGTGTCATCCATGCTTTATCCATATTAAACACAGTACCTATTACAACATATAAGTCGTTATTTATAATGTAAACTAATTTTTTATATGAAAAAATCATTACATACATCGATTCAATATTTTAAGATATGTATATATACATACACAATTTGCATTGAAAAATTAGAATGAACAGATTATAGAACTAAATATTTTTTTAAAATTACTACTTACTTGAAGGGAGGTGCTTTACTGGATTCTTGTTGGAATACTATAGTAGAGCTAAAAAGTGTTGCTTAATCTGAAAAATTAAGATTAGCAAATAATGGATTAAATATTGTTTTGCAGTGTAAAAATATTTTTAGAGATTTCATAGTTATTAAATCTCAAGAAAGGCAATAAGAAATCAATGATATAAATTTGCATCTCATGCTAAGCAATGATCCATTACAACAAGCAACTAAAATCAATTCATGTATTGTCATACTGTATGCTCAAGAACCATGAAACACACATTGTATAGGAAAATTATTTAGACTTAGCCTAGAAGTATACCACATAAATCATTAATCTTTTTAGCCATTTTCTTGATTTTTTTTAATTTTTTTTTTTTTAGGTTAATAGCCAAAATAGGAAGACTTCACTTACCATTCATACAGATAATGACAATTGGCAGGAATGCAAGCTAAATGAAGCTAGGCAAGAGAAAGTTCAAATGTTTTAAAATATGCTTAGAAATGAAGTCTATCTTAGTATCAATGGAGTTTCTCCAACTCTGGAACACAAGGTATAGCTGACTATAGCATCATCTCCATAGCTGTTGTCAAAAAACTAGGGTGCTTCTGCTACTAAACAAACATCAATCTTTGACAGTTGCCCTTAATATCTTCACATCATTAAAAAAAAAATACAAAGAAAATTAAAAAATCACCACAAAGCAGGCAACTACATTTTTTTTTTCTTCTAAGATCTGTTCTTAATACCTCTTAAATTTTATTGGATATATATCATGGTGGATGTGATTAACATAAACTCTGACAAACAAGCATGTTAAGGTGGTACATATAATGACACAACATCATTGTCAAAACTAAAAAGAAATGCACAAAAAGAAAGAAAAAGCTTTATTACCATGTACTGTCAAAGTAAAGGAAGAGTATTTTTTATTTAGAGGAAGGAGGAGTATTTTTATTCATTCATTAAATTCAAATCCCATCAGAATCATAATACATACACAGAACCAAAGAAATTGATGAAGGTTAGGGGGTAAAATAGAGAAATTACTCATTAGACTCCAAATGATATTTAACTTTTGGAATTCACTATCTTGGACCGATCTATATGGACTATTAGAGTGACCTAGCTAGGTCTGGAATATTCACCTCAACAATATAATCTGATATGATAGTTGATAAGTATTAAGTAGGAGATGAAATATGAGAATAACATAATGAACTCATTGTAATCACAAGGCTCTGTAATTATAGATTAGAAGAGTAACTAACTACCCTATGTGGGCATGTGTATCAGTGTATGCTTTTAAGTTTTAAGATAGCTTGTGAATTGTTTAATTATAATTCATATGGGAGAAGCTCTAATCTGTCTGACTTAATTGTGTCTTATAATAATCATATTTAAATATTCTTTCTTACTTCAATTACTCAAATAACTGTGCCATTATTCCTGTAAAGTGCTAAGTATTTCTTTATTAGTATATCATCAAAATCTTCCATCAGGAAATAAGAATCCAACTTCTCAATAACCTCCTAAATTTTGAGTGAATCAGCCATACCCCCCACACCCCTCCAAATCTTTATGATTTTTCTACAACTTCTTTATGACAGGTACAATCAGTAGTAGTAGCACTGCAACATTCCCCTCTCATCTATCCTGTTAATATTATTAAACAACACTAACCTATTGTTATTTTTGTTGCAAATGTTATTATTACAACTACACCTCAAGTCATTTACAAAATATTCCAAAACCAACACCCAAATATATCACAACAAAAACTAGCTACCTCCTCGAGAACCTCCAGAAAGGGTAGCAAACAGCAGCAAATTAAATTTTGCTTCCTAAGCCTTCTTAGAGGGCGGCCTCATTCCCCCTTAGCTTAATAAGCTAAAACCATATATCATCAAAACCCAACATCAACCCCAAACAAAACACCTCAATATCCATCACCAATCAAAACCAACAACCAATCCACATTCAAGCTGGCTACATATTTGCAGAGATTGCAGCAGATGCAGCTAGTTGTATCCTACAGCCACCCCAAAATTGCAGCAGTTAATCCTTGCAACATCATTCCCTAAACTCACATAAAAATCAGCATCTAACCTTACCTCAAAACCACTTGCAAAAACCCAAATTCCACCCCCAAATCTGCTACATCATGTAGCCAAAACTACAAGATTCATCAATACCCTAGATTAATATGTTTATTACTAACCCCTCACCTAGGTATGAATAATTCATAATAAATGTAAATATATATATATATATATATAACAAAAAACAAATCACACCCATGTTATATAAAAAAAAAAACCAAAAAAAAAAATTACAGAGAAATTAGCTATCCTATTCTAACTAATGAGCGCCAAAATCATCCAAATAATACCAAAAATAGAGTTTATACATGAATGTTTTGGTGGAGATTAGTTTATTAGGGTTTGAATTTACCTAAACATGATGAATCTTCTCTTGTAAGCTTTTGGGTCCGATCTTTTGGAAGACTTCCACTGGGTTTTGCAGAGATAAAGGTTAGGTATTATATATGATTAAATAGTAAGATTAGAAGTACAGAAAAATCTATTGTAGTGTAGTGAGATGAGGAGAAAACCAGAGACACAGAGTGCCGACGAAGGTGCAGATGATGACCCTGTTGTGGTGGAAACGGCGGTGGTGTCACGAAGCGGTGCCGATGAAGGTGCTGCCGAATTTCTGCTCGTTGAAGATGAGACTAGAATACTCTGCTCTATTTTGTAGTGAGAAGTGAAGTACAGCTACACTATGATATTGACATATTGTACTCAGAGAAATAATTTAGACAATTTTTTTTTTATTGCTGAAGAGAGTGTTTTAATGGCGCCAATTGATAATAGCTTTCCCGCAAAATTATTTTCACTTTTCCTGACGTTATGATTTTTAAAATAAGACATTTAAAGACGATTATTATAAAACGTCATTAATTCTATATCTTTACTGACAAAAATATTATATTTCGTCAGTAAATATTATCAAAAAAATTTATTGTCTCTACCAAAATATATAGTGACGTTATTTAATATAACGTCCCAAATTGTTATATTTAGCGACGTTTTTTAGAGCGTCATTAAAATTTTCGTCGGGAAATGAAACATTTCTTGTAGTGCGTCCTCCTGAACTTTTCAATTCTTGGGAGGAAGGCTTGTTTCTTGGTTCAGCAAAAAGCAAAATTCCATCGCAACTAGTACCGCCGAGGCCGAATATATTGCTGCAGGAAGTTGTTGTGCTCAAATTTTATGGATGAAGCAACAATTGAAGGATTATGGAGTGAATTGCGACGATGTTAGCATATTTTGTGACAATACAAGTGCAATCGCTATTACTCACAATCTGGTGCTTCACTCAAGAACCAAACATATCGACATACGACATCATTTCATAAGGGATCATGTTGAAAAGAAAGATCTAAAAATCGAGTATATCCCTACGGAGAACCAAGTTGCATATATTCTCACGAAGCCTTTATGCGGAACGAGATTTTCTACTTTAAGGCATGAATTGGGAATGTTGGAAATGAGCTAAGTATCACTGAACTTAATCTCTTGATTTAAAATGATACATACGCTCAAATTATGGGTTCTACGTGTTTATATGCTATTATATGTTCTACGTGTTTATATGCTATTATATGTTCTACGTGTTTACATATTTCTATGTACTTAATTTCTACGTAAACTAATTTGCTAAATGTGTTAAGTTTTTAATTATGAATTTGCGTGAAGTGTTTAACGTGATTTTATATGCCATGCAAATTAGTTTGACAAAATGTGCAGTTTTATTTGATCTAATTTGTTTTTGAACTGCATGTTTTAATCGTTACTTGGACCGCACGTTATGTTCATGTTTGTGTTAATTTGTTTGCATAAACAATTTTTTTTTTATATGTTACCTGACTATTTGTGAAATATGATTTACAATTTGGTTTATATTAATGTGCTAATTGTTATTAGAATAATTTTTTACTAGTTTCTAAATAATTGCTTATGTGTTTAAGAAATTTGTTTACATATATATAATCTACCGTATGTATGTATGTGTTTTCTTGGTAATTTGATTTAAAATTTGGTTAGTTACCAAAATTTGTGCTTATTATAATTGGGAATAACCGTGTATATGCATGATTATATATGGATGTGATTTAATTGCTAAAAATTTTAAAATTCCATATATGTTCCGAAATTGCATGTGAGATTTACGAAAATTTGTGTAATTTGTGTGATCATATTTATGTGGAAATATGTGTTCAAATCTGATGTGTACGTATTTTTGAGAATAAAAAGGAAGAGATCAAATTGGATTAAAATCTCCTCCCTCTAAACCTCTACCCATAAAACCCAATCCCATTAAAACTCTCCATCTCTCAAACCCACACCCCTTAAACTTCTACCCATAAATAAATCCCACGAAATCTGACCCTCTCTCACAAAATCAGATCCCTTCTCATAAATTCTGATCGACACCCTCTCTCAAAGATCTCGATCGTCACCCATGCCATAAATATGAGCAAATCTCCTCTTAAACCCCAGTAGTTACTTGTCTAATCCTCTCCATAGCACCGTCCTCCTCAACCAATAGAGACTCACCCAAATTTAATGGATGTCAATCATACCCGTTCTGAACCCAACTGTCGACCATAATCCCTGAAGCCATCTTTAGAAGCCTTCAGACGTTCTCGAGCCTATATATTGGCAATAGCAATCCAAACCACAACCGTGCAAGTAGTTTATTTTTTTTTGCAGGAGAACCATGGTGTCAAAGGAGAAGAACAATGGAAAAAGAAGAACATCCATGAGGATCTGGAATCAAGTGCGGCTCCAAAAGTTGCGAGCAAGGAGGACAGAAGCTGGATGACACCTCATTGGGGATACTGCAAATGACCCTCTCGTTGTATCTGAAGAGGAAAACCTTCAAAACTTTGATCAAGGTGCACCTATCTCACTGCCAGAAGAACCAGGTTTTATTTATGCTGAAGAAGGAGAAGCCAAGA